CAAGCAAAAATGTTACACCACGCAGAGGGTGCATGTCCCACTGATGACCACTAGGGGTGAACTATAGCCTGCTCTCTTTGCCATAGGCTCAGACTTACAAAGCTGAGACTCACATCAGTATTATTAGGTTATTATTAGATTAACGCAATGACACTAAAATACATTTCCCAATATGAGGTCTCTGTCGGAAAGCAATAGGGTACAAGGTGTTGTCGCTTTGAATTTCATCTAGTCCCTGGTTTTTCATCGCATAGACTTCCACCACATAATTTCTCCATCTGGACGGATTGAAGTTATACAGCCATCAAGAAAAAGTTAGAATTTCCTCATCGTTTTCATGTGAGGTGGTGTGGATTTTCTCCATGATTGTTGCTCTCCTGACCACAGACCTACAGAAATTAAACTCACATCACTTACAGTTGGTGATGGCTTGAGCGTAATGGTGTGAACTACACAACTTATATGACTCTAGAGCGCCACCTATGGAAGGCTTCTGACATATACACATGCCAATAGGTGTAGTAAGTAACAATGATGCAGACAGCTTACACACAATCTTGAATATTTGGGGACTGAGTTTTATCATGTATACATCTAAATACCGTTATAACAAGCATCCAGCAAGTAGTGAGTAATTGTGAAAGAAATATTTGCTAGAAATTCTATGTAGTGACATCTGATTATTAATGTTGATGTTGAATTAGAAGTAAACACTCAACCCAAAGTCCAGGTCTGGCTGGACATGTGCAACAGTTTCAAAATCTCCTTCATGTTTACCATGGTTACCTAACGTTTGTGGACAATTTTTTAAAAGACTTTTACTTGGTTGAACATCTGCCGTAATATAAGGGTCCTTCATTCATTCTTTATTAGGCCGAGCCAATACTTTGTATTGGGGAGGCCTATTGTTATTCACCGGTTGCCAATTCGTCGGCGTGACGCTTGTGGGACCGGCGCCCAGGAGGCGGTCGCAAGAGGGGCGAGGCCTTTCATCGCCGCTTGCGGCTTTAATGAAAATTGTTATTCGGTGGTTTCATATTATTCTTTTTCCGCCGAAACAATTAGATTTTTGACCCTGAAGACATGCACGAAAGTCTGCACATGGGGGGTCTAAAACGACCGGTCCGGCGAAAAATTTGATAAAACGGACGTTTCGAGATTGTCCGACAAAAGGCGAATCAATAGCGCCCCCTTGAAAATTCAAAATTTGCCATTTCTATTGGAGGCAGGATTGCATATTTTGGAGTAGGTGCACAAAATTCGGATGAGTGATAGATCTCTATGAGACGAGCATAAAAGCCGGTCTAAGCACATGTCTGGGACCAACAGGAAGTCGGCCATGATGGGCCAAAGTTTCGCCACTAATTTGACTTTTCATTTATAAATTCGAACTAGTCCCTGGTTTTTCATCACACAGAGTTCTACCACGTCATTTCCCGCTCTGGGCGGATTGAAGTTATATAATCATCGAAAAAAAGTTAGAAAATCTTCACCGTTTTCGTCCCTCGCCATAGCGAATAAGGCCTTCGTTTTGGCCATTTTCGCTGAGCCCTGAGGGCCACAGGCTCAGACTTACAGAGCTGAGACTCACATCAGTAATATTAGGTTATGGCCTGAACGCAATGACACTAAAATCATTCGCCCAATTTGAGCTCTTTAGCGCCACCTGTCGGAAAGTAATAGGGCACTAGTCCTCGGATCGGCCCGAAAATCGCTGAGTGTATTCTCTGGACCGAGACGAGCAAAACATTACATTACGCAAAAGTTGTACGTCCCACACCTGACCACCGGGGGCGTCGGAAAGTGAATAAATGAGCTTTTTTAGGGCAAAATGTTTGTCCGATGAGGCTAAAAATGAATTCAGTAATACAGCGTATGACCCTGAACACAACGATATACAACACACAACTGTGAGTGCAACAGCGCCACCTACAGGCAGTTCAAGGTGTCGCATTTTTGGCTTCGTACTAGTCCCTGGATTTTTATCGCACAGACTTCTACCATGTCATTTCTCCATCTGGACGGATTGAAGTTATGCAATCATCGCATAAAAGTTAGAATTTTGTTATCGTTTTCATGCGAGGTAGTGGGGAATTTCTCCATGTTTGATGCTCTCCTGACCACAGGCTCAGACCTACAGAGCTGAAACTCACATCACTAACAGTTGGTAATGGCCTGAGAGTAATGGTGTGAAAACACACACCTAATATGACTCTACAGCGCCACCTATGGAAGGCTTCTGACCTAAACTTTTCCGATCTTCACCAAAGTTGCAAAATCAAATCTTTACATCTGTACGAGCAAAATACTACTCTACATTGAGGGTGCATGTCCCGGAGGTGACCACTAGGGACGCACTTTATCATATAAATTAGCTTTTATATACGTAATCCTGGTCAGATCGGGCTGCCAATTCGTCGGCGTGACGCTTGTAGGACCGGCGCCCAGGAGGCGGTCGCGAGAGGGGCGAGGCCTTTCATCGCCGCTTGCGGCTTTAATGAAAATTGTTATTCGGTGGTTTCATATTATTCTTTTTCCGCCGAAACAATTCCATTTTTGACCCTGAAGACATGCACGAAAGTCTGCACATGGGGGGTCTAAAACGACCGGTCCGGCGAAAAATTTGATAAAACGGACGTTTCGAGATTGTCCGACAAAAGGCGAATCAATAGCGCCCCCCTTGAAAATTCAAAATTTGCCATTTCTATTGGAGGCAGGATTGCATATTTTGGAGTAGCTACACGAAATTCGGATGAGTGATAGATCTCTATGAGCCGAGCATAAAAGCCGTTCTAAGCACATGTCTGGGACCAACAGGAAGTCGGCCATGATGGGCCAAAGTTTCGCCACTAATTTGACTTTTCATTTATAAATTCGAACTAGTCCCTGGTTTTTCATCACACACAGCTCTACCACGTCATTTCCTAATCTGGACGGATTGAAGTTATATAATCATCAACTAAAAGTTAGAAAATCTTCACAGTTTTCTGTCCTCGCCATGGCGAATAAGGCCTTCGTTTTGGCCATTTTCGCTGAGCCCTGAGGGCCACAAGCTCAGACCTACAGAGCTGAGACTCACATCAGTAATATTAGGTTATGGCCTGAACGCAATGACACTAAAATCATTCGCCCAATATGAGCTCTTTAGCGCCACCTGTCGGAAAGTAATAGGGCACTAGTGCTCGGATCGGCCCGAAAATCGCTGAGTGTATTCTCTGGACCGAGACGAGCAAAACATTACATTACGCAAAAGTTGTACGTCCCACACCTGACCACCGGGGGCGCCGGAAAGTGAATAAATGAGCTTTTTTAGGGCAAAATGTTTGTCCGATGAGGCTAAAAATGAATTCAGTAATACAGCGTATGACCCTGAACACAACGATATACAACACACAACTGTGAGTGCAACAGCGCCACCTACAGGCAGTTCAAGGTGTCGCATTTTTGGCTTCGTACTAGTCCCTGGATTTTCATCGCACAGACTTCTACCATGTCATTTCTCCATCTGGACGGATTTAAGTTATGCAATCATCGCATAAAAGTTAGAATTTTGTTATCGTTTTCATGCAAGGTAGTGGGGAATTTCTCCATGTTTGATGCTCTCCTGACCACAGGCTCAGACCTACAGAGCTGAAACTCACATCGCTAACAGTTGGTAATGGCTTGAGAGTAATGGTGTGAAAACACACACCTAATATGACTCTACAGCGCCACCTATGGAAGGCTTCTGACCTAAACTTTTCCGATCTTCACCAAAGTTGCAAAATCAAATCTTTACATCTGTACGAGCAAAATACTACTCTACGTAGAGGGTGCATGTCCCGGAGGTGACCACTAGGGACGCACTTTATCATATAAATGAGCTTTTATATACGTAATCCTAGTCAGATCGGGCTGCCAATTCGTCGCCGTGACGCTTGTGGGACTGGCGCCCAGGAGGCGGTCGCAAGAGGGGCGAGGCCTTTCATCGCCGCTTGCGGCTTTAATGAAAATTGTTATTCGGTGGTTTCATATTATTCTTTTTCCGCCGAAACAATTCGGATTTTTGACCCTGAAGACATGCACCTACTAAACCCCCCCCACCCCCCAAAAAAACCTAGAGCTACATGTCAATTTATGGGTCCTAGGTTTTCAGTGTACGCAAAAATTAACAAAATGAAATGCATAATGTTGCTGACTGGCAGTGTCAAAACTGTCGGGACTTTTTAACACAGACAAAAACCGTTTCTTGTTATTACACTAAGTGTGGGTATGTGTACCACTGTCCGTGTTAAATAATATTTACATACAATTACCATACAATACATATGTAGGAAAGATCTCAGCAGACTGTTACACGATAATTTGATTAAGGCCAAAAGGTGCCCCATGGTTTGGTCGGGTCGGGGTATTGTAGCTTGAGTGTAATATTACTAATGATAAGAAACTGCTTACTTGCACGAAAACGGTGAAGATTTTCTAACTTTTATGCGATGATTGCTAACTTCATATCCGTCCAGATGAGAAATGACATGGTAGACAGTCTTGGGTGCGGGGATTGAAAATCCAGGGACTAGTCCGAAGCCAAAAAAATGCGGACACCTTGAACTGCCTGTAGGGTGGCACTGTTGCACTCCAGAGCTTGTGTTGTTGTACTATCGTTGTGTTCGGGTCATCGCTTATTTTGAAATTCCTTTTTGTTTGCACCTCATCGGACAAACATTTTGCCTAAAAAGCTCTTTTATTCACTTTTCCGGCGGCCCCCGGTGGTCAGGTGTGGGGACGTACAAGTTTTGCGTAATGTAATGTTTTTGCTACGTCTCGGTCCAAGATAACTCAGCGATTTTCGGGCGATGCGAGCACTTAGTGCCCTATTACTTTCCGAAGGTCGCACTAATGAGCTCCTCAAATTGGGCGTATGATTTTAGTGTCATTGCGTTCAGGCCATAACCTAGAATATTACTGTTGTGGGTCTCAGCTCTGTTGGTCTGAGCCTGTGGCCCTCAGGGGCTCAAGCAAAAATGGCCAAAAACGGGGGGGGGGGGGGGGGGGGGGGGGGGGGGGGGGGGGGGGGGAGGGGGGGGGGGGGGGGGGGGGGGGGGGGGGGGGGGGGGGGGGTAGGCTTATTTGCCATGGCGAGGGACGAAAAAGGTGAAGATTTTCTAACTTTTTTTTGATTGATTATTTAACTTCCAAATCCGTCAGATTGTGGAAAAGACGTGTGGTAGAAACTCTGGTGTGATGAAAATACCAGGGACTAGTCGAATTTCTTAAATGAAAAAGCAAAATTAGTGGCGAAACTTCGGCCTTCATGGCCGACTTCCTGTTTGGTCCCTGACTGTGCTTTGGACCGGCTTTTATTGCGGTCTTTAATGCCGAGCCTTAATGTACAGACTGAGCCTTAATGCACAGACCGAGCCTTAACGTACAGACCGAGCCTTAATGTACAGACCGAGCCTTAATGTACACAGACCGAGCCTTAATGCACAGACCGAGCCTTAATGAACAGACCGAGCCTTAATGTACAGACCGAGCCTTAATGTACAGACCGAGCCTTAATGCACAGACTGAGCCTTAATGTACAGACCGAGCCTTAACGTACAGACCGAGCCTTAATGTACAGACCGAGCCTTAATGCACAGACCGAGCCTTAATGTACAGACCGAGCCTTAATGAACAGACCGAGCCTTAATGTACAGACCGAGCCTTAATGTACAGACCGAGCCTTAATGTACAGACCGAGCCTTAACGCACAGACCGAGCCTTAATGCACAGACCGAGCCTTAATACACAGACCGAGCCTTAATGTACAGACCGAGCCTTAATGTACAGACCGAGCCTTAATGCACAGACCGAGCCTTAATGTACAGACCGAGCCTTAATGCACAGACCGAGCCTTAACGTACAGACCGAGCCTTAATGTACAGACCGAGCCTTAATGTACAGACCGAGCCTTAATGCACAGACCGAGCCTTAATGCACAGACCGAGCCTTAATGCACAGACCGAGCCTTAATGTACAGACCGAGCCTTAATGTACAGACCGAGCCTTAATGTACAGACCGAGCCTTAATGTACAGACCGAGCCTTAATGCACAGACCGAGTCGTGGCGAGGTTAATAAATGTTTTATTATATGACTCTCGTCTGTGTCCAATGCTTTTGAGATATTTGTGAAGTATGTTCATGTCCGACTTGGTTTAGTGTGATACGGGCTGTGGACAGATTGTCATGGTAACGGTCCAAGGAAAGATATCAGACCGGTAATCAGCCAATCAGAGCGTGCGTACGGTCCAAGTCATATAATGAATAAGATTATCACACGCTCTTCACAGCCGCAGCAGAACCATTGATGTGAATGTCATTTCAAAACATTCTACCGGTCATTATTTTCTATAACGGACCTCTCAAAACAATAATGACCGCTGCCCTTTGGCAACGCACTCTCTGCTTGTCTTTCAAATGCGTGGATAACTCCACAAGTAGTTCCGGCCACTCCGGAGCTCGCCACGCTCAATCAACACTTAAATGTTAATCGGAGAATACTTTATACATATACATTCTTCACACACGTGCACGGACATTTTCAGAATGTTCTGGTCTTGTCTTCGTGACAAAAATACTATTTCTCTGCGTCAAAAAGCGATCGTGAAAAACCCGGAAGTAGTTCTGGCCGCTCAATAAACGCAAATGCCAATCAATCAACGCAATGAAATGTTAATGGAAAGGTAATTTATACATATACAGTCTTAATACAAGTGCACGGAAGTTTTCAGAATTTTCCGTTTCCGTTTTCATGACAAAAACACTGATGTAATGCGAGAAAAGGCGATGGTGAAAAACCCGGAAGTAGATACGGCACATTTTAGGAACATTTGCAGAGGATGGAATTATGGATTTAGGTTAAGTTTATGTTTGGGTCACTCACCGCTGATGTTCAGGATTCTGTGTTCAGTTTTCATGCAGTTCCAGAGAGTTCTAGTTTGGAAGTTGCTAGCCTAACTGTTGCTAGCAAAGCCACGGGAAAACCTTTGGGAACTATTTTATTTTCTGTCATTAAATAAACCTTTGGGCATTCCTAAAAGTGGACTGAAGTTTATGTTGTGTGTTCTGTTGGTATAAAGCCGTATAATAAGCGGGATAACGTATATTACGCAGGTCATTATCGGAAAATAAGTACCTTCAGGGCAAAGCTTCGCCCTGAAGGTACTTATTTGCGTACTATACGTTATCCCTTACTTAAACAACACAGGTTCATTGTGGAGGAGCAGACGGACTTCTTTCCATCCCATAACGTCTCTGTCATCGCCTCACACTGAACCGGTGGAAAAAGACAAAAAGGAAACGAAACACGTTTTTGTTTCACATGAGATACTGATATCGTTACTTTCACCGTTCACAAGTTGGAAGAAGGAACCATGGAGGACCTAATGTGTGCTAATGTGTGCTAATGTGTGTTAATGTGTGCTAATGTGTGCTAATGTGTGCTAATGTGTGCTAATGTGTGCTAATGTGTGCTAATG